AACTTAAGACCTGGTTTTAGCTTGACTACATGCCGTTCACAAATTTAAAAATATTTGGTAAACATAATGTTAATGTTAAATATATTTGAGGTAATTCAGACACAGCTTCTACATCACATAGTTCAGGGCATTTCTTGCTCACAGTTCTTGAATATACAAATTTAAAGGATACTCATCAAAACACTGGGTTCATAAAAAAACTTCTAAGAAGACAAACCTGATAGGTTGTTATCGGATTTTTAAAATTTGGCCTTAAATATCCAATATTAGTAGGTGTTTGGAAGAACAATCATGTAATTATTTTGGAGGCCACAGTTGCAACCCTCAACCATATAGGTAGCCTGTAGCAGGCCCTCCACACATTCATGGATCCTGCATAGTGTTGAACATAACTGTTCACAGGATTTTAGCTTTGATGAAATCTCACATCTACAGCACTTATCAAAGGTCCAAGCACAGCTTCAAGCAGAGCTCAGTCCCAGCTGTGAAAATGAAAGGTGTGGACTGAACCCAGAGGCTCCCACCTCCACCTTATCATTGGCCTCTGTATCACCACCTGTTTTTGTCTCACTTCAATCAGCCCAGACCTGAAGTCAGCATACAAATGTGCTGGAGAATGTATGCAGCAACACACTAAGACTCACACCTTGACCCAGAACCCTGAATCTGCGTAATGCAATACACCACAGGCTTATGAGAATCATATGTTCATTGGATCAGATGTCCTCTCGTCTGCCTTATTCTCACGACAAAACACAAGAGCGCACAAAATGTTCCAGCAGTGAAAAACAGTCTTTATGGGTTTCAGAGGAGGAATTCTTTGTTGGAGAGTGCACAAGGTTATTTGAGGGATGGATTTCTTTACGAGCTGACCACTGGATCCAAAAAGGGTGCCACACACAGACCGTAGACTTGAAATAGGCGATTGTGTTTATTTTCAGAAGTCACTGAAGTGGACTAAACAAGAATGTCAATAAAACTAAAATGGTATTTCCCAGATTTGTATAGGAGACTTGTTTTTAGACAAAGTTCTTATACAATCTACATACGTCTATGACTGTAATGTTTTTCACTCATTTTCTCTGAATTAAATTTGATAAACAAGACAAATATTTATTTTATTTAATTGATTCTGAGTATTAATCAGACTTGGAAATGGGCTGTGTGATTACAGCAGCAGCGTGTTCTTCCTTTTGCAAATTTATTCCGTCCGTCTCAGCGTCTGGCTGCTGTTTCAGGGCTCACATCACTAGAGACATTCCTGCTCAGTCACATGGGAAAGAAACCAGCATGAAGGAGTACTCACACATGTTATTTTGGAAACTCCGCTAAACGCAGATGACTTTTTTTTAAAAAAAATTTGAAAAAAAAAAACAAAAAGAATGCAGAGTCAATTTTTTTTGTTTGTTTTTACAAACCTCGAGTGTCTAATTTTCATTTGACATAGCTGACTGCTTGTTTCCTTTGAGCTGTAATTCCAGGGAACAGGAAGTCTTACATCTGTCTTTGGATGCACTTGTTGTTCTGAGAAAACACAAGCAGGCGAGGCTACTGCTGTGTACTCAGGAATAGTGGGCAGTACAGACTTGTGTTTCCTAAGATCATTGTGTAACCCAAAGATCAGGTTTCTTCTTTCCAGTAATGGAAATAGAAAACAGTCCTTCTTAAATTATTTTCTGTAATGCACATTAAGCTAATGCCCCAGCTGTTTTTCCAGTTAGTAGTGACTGTAAGTAAGTAAATAAGTTCAACAGAATGAGAGACACTTTTGTTTGTTTGTTTTCCCATAGGGATCGGGCCGGTCCACATGAACGAGGTGGAGTGCTCTGGGTTTGAAAAGTCACTGACTGAGTGCTACTTCAACCGTGACTCTGTTGGCTGCAGCCATGAGGAAGACGCAGCAGTCAGGTGTAATGTTCCCGCCATGGGCTTCAACAAAAGAGTGAGTACCTCTCTCTATCTCCATACTATAAAAAATAAAGATTTGTAGAGAACTGGAAGACACACCTGTCTGTCTCTGTCCTCAGCTTCGGCTAAATGGCGGCCGTAATCCCTATGAGGGCCGTGTGGAGATCCTGGCAGAGAGGAACGGCTCTATGGTGTGGGGCTCAGTGTGCAGTGACAGCTGGGGGACCATGGAGGCCATGGTAGTGTGCAGACAGCTGGGCTTGGGCTTTGCCAGCCATGCTTTCCAGGTGAATGTTGTGCTCCACATGTAATACACACAAATCATTTATAAGATGAGCTTATCTTCACTGCACAGGCTTTCAGCATAAAGGAGATGGCTGTGGGTATAGTTTGTGCTCTGGCACACCTAACTGGATAATTTATGCTATCATTCACAGGTAATTCACTTATATTTTAAAATGAAAAATAAATTAAATTTGTGCGTCTTGTATTATACACATGAGGCAAAAACCACATCAGCTCTTTTATGTGTGAAATACACAGGCCCCTGCACAAGCAGAGCTTTCACCAGCAGCAGGCTTAGGGTATCAAGCTAAATAGTACAAAACAACAACATAAAAAATGATAAAAGAGGTGAAACTGGTGTGACAGGAGAGGCCCAGAAGCCATCAGCGTATATTGTCGAGCTCCCCCTGTATTAGCAGCGAGGTAAAAATAACATAAAAAACATGAATTGGCTAAAAAAAAATGTTTGTTTTTTTACATGCTTGCCCTGTCACTATCAGTTCCTAAGATTTTTGTACAGTCATTTTGTCCTAATGATTGATAGTTATAGTCATTTGTATTTCCAGTATACTGTATGTGCATGAACATGATCATTATATTTAATTTTTTTCTATCATGTCATGTTATTGGAATGTGAAAACAAATTTAGCCAGGTTAAACTGATAAAATGTAAAGAAATATAAACGTGTATTGGAAGTTGTCTGTTTCCAAACTGTCAAGTGAAGCCTGTCTGAACCTCAAAACAGGCCTCTGCTTTTCAAATTATTGTACCACTGATACTAAGTTGGGGTAATTAAAGGAGCAGTGTGTGAGATTTAGGGGGATTTAGTGGCATCTAGTGGTGAAGATTGCAGATTGCAAAAAGCTGAAACTTCTCCCAGTTGAAATTACTTCAGTGTTCATTGTTCAGGAGGTTTTTACCAGGAGCCGAATTATCCACAGAGGTCTCTCCCTCTCCAAAACAAACAGGCCCATCGATTAAAACCAGTAAAAACACTGAATAAATCAGTTTCACCTCAAGAAATCAGTGTCTTTCTGACACTGCTGGTCGTGGAGGGGCTGCTGTGCATGGTGTCCAATGTGAAAACGTGAATGGCGCTCTCTAGAGCTGGTGTTTGTTCTGTCTATTCTGGGCTACTGTGGAGACATGGTGCAACATGGCAGACTCAGTGGATGAGGATCTGCTCCTTATGGAGATACAATGGCTCATTCTTAAATAACAAAAACATGACACTTAATTTTAGGTGATTATAAACTAAAGAAAACACACTCATATTAAATTCCATTTATGCCAGTATTTTACCTCTAAATCCTTCACACTGGATCTTCAATGGTTTGGATGGAATACAGATGTTATTATATTTGATTTGATTAATGGATTAGAAATGATACAAAAGTCACAGCCATGTGAAATATACACAAGATGAAACCACTCAGGCAGCACTACCCATTTTAATATCCGTCTCTGTGTGCATGTCAGTGGATGTCATTATCTCTCTCATGAGCTTTACTGACCCCTGAGAGCAAAATAAGCTTGTAACTGTCTTTGAAACTTCAAAAACACACAGTGAGAGCAGAAAGCAGGTCAGAGGTGGTAAACCTATGGCACAGATGAGCTTGAAAGCCCTCAGCGGGAGTGATGGGCAAAGCCATCATTTGCTGTTTGAAGTTTAGTGAAGTTTCACACCGCTAAAGCCCGTGGCATGACTTGGCTGCGTCACAGTTCTGTCCTGCTTACGTTTACCTCTTACTTTTAAAGGAAACCCCCAGTGCTTCCTTTATGTCACGAGGTGAGAGGCTGGTTAAGTTAAAGACCCCCCCTCGTGTTCTTAATATATTTCTATTTTTAAAACCAGTGTTGGATTTGTGGTTAAAGGTGATACAGGTCTGGAAAGTATGTGTGAATCACAGGGACGTTCACTGATAACAGCAGGAGGTTTTATGAGTGGACAGGATCTCACCCAAGTGTGTTTGGGACAATTATGTGCAGTGCACTTCTAATGAAACAACACGTAGTCATGTCATCATGTGTTTGCGGTCACTGCTTGAGCACTCACCCTTTAGTCAAGTACAGTTCAACACTATGCTTCTCCAGTGTGGAATGAAGGGTCTACTTGTGATTACAAGTACCTATTTCACTTCATAAAAAACACATTACAGTGCCAAGTCAAATGAACAGGGCGAGGTATCATAATAACAATGTCCCTTTGTCACCAAATACAAGAAGTTACCATTACACTAAGGTTCTCATGTTGACAGCAGGTCTACAAGTAACAAATGCTATTTGTTATAGAAGTAGAGCACAGAGCAACCTCTTCAGAGACTCTTTCCTGTCTGAATTTTAAATACTCCTGCAGACAAACCCCACCACCAGATGGAACAAATGACTCCAAGCTTAAACTATACTGCTGTGTATCTATCCCTCTCCTTAGCCCACCAGCAAGTCCTCCCACATCCATATCCCTCAGCTGGATTTCTTTCTCATGAATCCTCCACTTTCTTGGAAGATGATGGAAACTATGAGCACAGGTCGTTTTCCTGTGGTCTGCAGAATGTTGTAATAAGGCTGAGTCAGGACTGTGAGGACAGCAGACCATCCCTTGGCCATGTGTGAGAGGCCCTTTGATTAGATTTGCCCTTTAGGACAACTGAGATAAAATATCCCAAATTAAACACTGGGGGGAAATCAAGTAAATGTTCCTACTTAAAACGTTCCCACACAAATTTCCAAAACAGTTCCAACAACATGACCTTCATCTATTTACATCCATTGGACTCCGTCGGACAAAGCTGTAATAGTAGACTTGAGACTTGGAATTAACTCTGATTGAAAGATGCACTTTGACATTTTGGAAAGTACACTTATTTACTTTCTGGCAGAGAGTCGGATGAGAAGATTGATACCACTCTGATGTCAATATTATAGATATGAAGCTACCGCCAGCAGCCTGTTAGCATAGCTTAGACTTATTTTTTATTTTATTTTTTTTATATATATATATATATACTTTATTAATCCCTGAGGGGAAATTCAATTTTTCACTCTGTCAATTACACACAGGTCCGAACACAGGACCTATACATGCACTAAGTGGAGAGATGTCAGAGTGGGCTGCCCATGACAGGCGCTCTGAGCAGTTGGGGGGTTCAGTGCCTTGCTCAGGGGCACCTCGGCAGTGCCCAGGAGGTGAACTGGCACCTCTCCAGCTACCAGTCCACGCTCCATATTTTGGTCCGGACGGGGACTTTAACAGGCGACCTTCCGGTTCCCAACCCAAGTCCCTATGGACTGAGCTACTGCCGCCCCTTAGACTGGAAACGGGGAAGCAGCTAGCCTGGCTCTGTCCAGAAGATAACAAAATCTCTGTCATGTTATGTTACGAGATGAGAAGCACAAAATATGGCTAGGTTACACCTCAGTTTTTGTATGGATTAAAGATGGATTAGACATTTTAATTAGCAAACTTGGTAGGCCTCAGGACAGAACTGGGCTAGCTGGTTCCCTATTTCCAGTCATTATGCTAAGCCAAGCTAACTAGCTGCTGGCTCTTACAGTAAAGACAGAGTGGTATCAGTCTTATTGGTAAGAAGGAGAGTAACTATATGTACCAAAGTATCGGATTCCTTTACATGTAAGTCACAAAAATCAAAGCTTAAGACTGGACTTGGACTCACTTTAGACTTCACTGCCTAAAGGCTCAACTAGTCTCCAGACCTGAAAGCCAAACCTTTAGAGTCTAATATGACCTGGGTGGGAAAATCCCAGAACAATAATAATAGTTAAGGCAGGGACAGACAGGCCTTGGCATGGCCACACACCTTGGATATTTAATTATCAGGGTCACGCCTCAAAGGGACTTTTCCCATTGAAAAAAAAAAGTAGTCCAGAACAACACATTTACAGTACACTTTTCTGTACTGTTACAGGTCTGTCAGCTTGATGTGCTTCAGTTGTTTGAAGTTGTTTTCTGTGCTTCTCTTTCATCAGGAAACATGGTACTGGCAAGGAGATGCCTCAGCTGATGCAGTGTTGATGAGTGGAGTGAGATGCTCCGGAACGGAGCTGACTCTGGATCAGTGTCTTCATCACGGGAAGCACATTGACTGTCCCAAAGGAGGTGGACGCTTCGCTGCGGGGGTCTCCTGTACTCAGAGTAAGAAAGCGCAGAATGCAAATACCGTCTACACTCAGAGTCTTACAAAGCTTTTCATGGAGGACATTTTGAATTATCAAAGTAAGAAAGGCACATATGCATATCATAAACTTTATGATGGCCAAATTCTATCGAGCTGCTTCCGTTTCAGGGTCCTGGTATTCTGCATGCTGTGTCAGACACACTGTCATGGCTTACCAGGACACTTGAATAGAACAGAGACATGTAATTAGTAACACCTGTTCTTTTCTACTATTGCTGTTTAAAAAACTTTAGTAGTAAGGAATATTTCTTTATAAAAGACAAACTTGATGCTCTACAGCTACTGGGGAAACTTTGCGTGTTTGTGACGTTCCTAACGACCACGTCCCTTGTCGCTCTCTCCCTCTCAGTGGCCCCAGACCTGGTCCTCAGTGCCCAGGCTGTGGAGCAGACCACCTACCTGGAGGACAGACCCATGTACGCGCTGCAGTGTGCCCACGAGGAGCACTGCCTGTCCAGTACTGCTGAAAACGCCGACCCCAATTCATACCGCCGCCTTCTCCGCTTCTCCTCCCAGATCCAAAACAACGGCCAGTCAGACTTCAGGCCTCGAGCGGCACACCACTCCTGGGTTTGGCACGAATGTCACAGGTGAGACCTCAACGAGACCTACAGTGTCGTTTGCTGCTGCTTTTATATTAATGACTGTATGAAACCTGTTGTGTTACTCTCAAACGACTACTGTAACATTAATGCTGGATGCCAGAGTGTCATGAATGAAATCATATAGGATGAATCGTTAATAATTAATAACCAACATCCAAACTGGAATTCCCTATATCCCACTGGCGATCAGGCTTTTCCCCTCGGGCTGTAAATGCTGCTGGGAGTGGGTCAGGGATAAGAGTGTGTATGTTAATGTGCAGTTGCTAAATTTAGGCATGTATAGGATGTTTCAACATTGTTTTTCTTTGTCCGAGCCAGACATTACCACAGTATGGAGGTTTTCACCCACTATGACCTGCTGTCTCTAAACGGCACTAAAGTAGCAGAGGGACACAAGGCCAGCTTCTGTCTGGAGGACACTCACTGTGACGAGGGTAAAGATTCCTTCTTTCCTTTTTGTTTTTATTACATACTGTGGCTTTGTGTCGAATTGTGCTGCTGAAGAGAATATAGTAAAAACATCAAAATCTGAATGGCTTTAGAGCGAAACTAAAACTGGGCTGAATACTGACAGGTATCCAGAAGAAGTATGAATGTGCAAACTTTGGGGCACAAGGCATCACAGTTGGCTGCTGGGATACCTACAGGCACGACATCGACTGTCAGTGGATTGACATCACAGATGTGAAACCCGGCGACTACATCCTCCAGGTAAAACATTTGGTCTGTCAGTCTAGCCACAGTAGATACGTCACATCTGCTGCTGGAAAGATTGTTTCATCTCCAGCCAGTGTGGTCGTATAGACCAAACAGATGCAGAGACTTTCCACGTCTCTGCATCTGCTTATGTTATAAAGCATGCTCTTATACAGACTTTAACAGGCAAGGAGGGGTTGTTGAAGGACACTGAACTTTCCGGTGGACACTTTGGTTGCTGCGGAAACTAAATTTCAGATCTCTGGGTTGTGAAAAGACATGACATCCTCCACTAGAAAATCATTTTTCTGAATCAGCTGCAGCAATCAAACTCCTATTCTTTTTTTGAGACAGCCTGTCACCCTCATACTGCCACTCACTGAGTCTGTATTATTCAGTTTTTAGTAATACTTAGAAAATGACTATGTATAGATGAAAGAGAATATTTCCATCAGATGTTTAACATTCATTGTTTTTGGCTCTCACAGGTTGTGATAAACCCCAACTATGAGGTTGCAGAATCAGATTACACCAACAACATTATGAAGTGCAGCGCCCGATACGATGGACAGCGGATGTGGACGTACAACTGTCATATAGGTGAGACCATTATCTTATAAGGATCATAATCTCCTCTGCATTAGGGTTACAGTGATATTAATTACACTGGTTATGTGTCAAGTCCAGTGAAAAATGATGCTGCGTTATAGACAATTTGTAGACAATTTATGTTTAAATAAAGAAAACATATATATGTTAAAGAGGATAGAGTCAGGGCTTTAACATTTTTAAGATATTATTATTCTTTCATTTTAAATGTAACATGCTGATGTAAAGCAAACAACGCACAAAGTGTTACTGTCCTAACTCGTTTTAGCTGTACTGTATGTTTACTCAAAATTTTACATCACTGAAACTTTAATACAACAAATCAATAGACACCATGTGTAGTTTTCATATTGTCATTAAATTATGCAGTATTGAATGCTGCAATCAAGTCTCCTTTTCCCTGAAATGAATCAAGGGATTCAGTGAAGTTCTACAGGTATCCAACCTGGTAATGCACAGAGACATACCATAGAACAAGTCCTGTCACTCCCACATCAGGCACAAGAGATAATTTCAGGAAAACCTTCCATTTTAGTATGACAAAAAATAAATTATTCAACATCTTTACTATATACAAACAATATATAATTTTCTCTTAGTGGCATTTTTGGACACACCCTATACAGAGGTAAGATTGGGACAAAACGACAGTACAGTAACAGGTAAAAAAGGCCAAACCTTCCAAGATTTCAAAGCTCAAACTTTAGTTGAAGTCATCTGGTTTTCTGTCATGTGGAGAGAAAGAATGAACACAAAAGGCAACAATCCTAAAAGGTAGTTTTGCGTTATTTAAAGGAAACAAATAAATATTAAAAAACAACTGAACATCTTTCAACAACAAAGTTTTAAAATGAACTAAAACATTAGAAAATATATTTCTGGGTCCAGCATGACACTGCTGTTACATGTGTGTTTCTTTTCTTTGAGATGCTGGCTTTTGAAAACAATACTGAGTGTTATCTTTTTAACAGATCGGATTCTGTTAATTGATGTACATTACATTTGTCAGTTGATTTGTGTACTCTATATAAAAATCTGGCTGTAACTACAGTACACAATGTAACAAGTGTCAGCAGGACACTTCAGCAGGGTGGTGTCGCTGATGTGTGACGCTCTCCATCACACAGACATGCTGAACCAATCAGTGAAACAGGCAAACAGTGCTTGACGGCAGTCACGCTTTATGATCAGCTAGCTGTTTGTAGCCACTGTGGAGCATCTACAGAGGGCCAGTGGATGGAGGCAGACCTCTGCTGGCCCTTTCTGTGAAAAATAGAAAGCCTGTTAGTTGATATTTTAAAAAAAGGCATATCACAAAATGTTGCCTTTTCTAAAAGTTAGGACTTTTTAGACAATAGTTTACCTGATTTTGAGAACATTTCACTCCACTGTCAATAAATTCAAATGAAAAGTCCTGACATTACTGGTCCTCTCATCACATCGGGGGGTTGTTACTATCAGAGAGGCGTGTTCAAATGGTGCAGTTTTATTGGCTGGTACCATGTAAAGTTTAGGTGTATTAGACAAGGAGCTTTAACATTTGTACTGTATCATGCACATAGCATTGCTCATGCTGTCATCCTTTCCCTATCTTACTTTACAGGTGGCTCACGGAGTTCAGAAATAGAGGAAATGTTCCCTGGATTAATGACCAACCAGCTTTCACACAGGTAGACCAAAGACGGACAACACAGACGGACGGACATTAGGGAAGCATATATTGATATTTGACAACCACTAGAGGGGGCTGTACGGTTTTGCTTCCTTGAAGCTCTGCTGGATGTTTTTGGGCTCAGGGCTCAACAGGTACAACGGACATGAATTCAATGGTAAATTATGAACTGCTTGCTTACGAAATCTATTAACCCACATTCAGCTGTACAAAAGTGTCCTTATTTATGCCTCATTTCCACTGCATGGTTCCACTCAACTTTACTCACTATTGGTACCAGGTGCCGTGACATTATCTTCAACTCACTGAATGCTATCATTGGCAACCAAACACTTTTGTCAGTTGTACAGAGTAGTTTGCAGCTTACCATTTTTTAAAAATCTGGATTGAGTCAAATAAAAAATTGCAGTTGCTATTGATGGTAGCTTGGCTATTTAAAAATGGTATACAAGCACCAGGTACTATCCACAATTTTTGCTGATGGAGAACCAAAGGAGTGAGCTGAGTTGAGCTATGCCGTACCATGCAGTGGAAATGCAGCATTAGTGCCTCTATTGTCAGTGAAATGTAGGTTTTGACCTGGTGCTCACTGGGAGAGACGTCAATGAGAGTTGTAGCCAAATAAGTTCTTAAATTAAGTGTGCCAACAGGTGTCTTCTAAGCCAAAGTTTGAAGAGTTTGAAGAAGCCTTAAACCAAAGACCATTAGATGAAACATTCACCCTCATGTTGAGTTTGCTTGGGATAGATGAAAATTATTGTCAAACAGAAACCTGCTTATGAATGCAGAATCTGAAGGAAAGGGGAAAATATTTTGGTATTGGAAGCGTTCTGGTTTCCGTTTGTAGTCTGAATAGAATAGACCAATGACATTTGAGCAGGCATTGGTTGCTTGAGAGAGAAAAAGAGGCAGAACGCATTGGACGAAGTGCAATCTCAGAACCAATTGGCTTTGTTTGACCATGATATAGCTTTTTATTAGCTTCACTAAACTGGCTACTTGTGAAACAGTCCAGTCAAAGACATTGTCTCTCAACTTTATCTCCATACTCCCATCTCAAGTTGGGGATCGAACTGTAAACTGGTGCACAGAGGAGGAGGTCTTGGCCCAAATATCTGTTCTCTGGATATCCTCTGGCTACACTTGAACCCCAGAAATAATGGCCATTTTCCCCAGAGGCTAAATCATAGTCAGGTCCATAGCCGATGGGTTCCCAGATTGGGTTAAATAGTCTACTGCTAAACCTGGTGCTACAACTGCGTCTTGCACTGTATGTTTCCCCCCAGAACAGTTGGATTAAAAGGGGGCTGCTTTAATCATGTTTGCTTTCACAGTATTGGACAGTGAAAGGCTTTAACTAGAAACTGAAAAAATACAGCAAATGATTATAATGACTGTAGAGCAATATAGCACAATCTATAGCAACAACACAACTGACGAAACAAAGATTTGTTGTTTTTATAAAGACTATTTTTAATTCTCTACAAAGGATTACAGGTTGTAACCAAAACTGTAATGTAGGCTACCTAAAGTTGGACTTATTCATTTTATTTTTTTGTTAGGGCCCCTCTGGTGCTGAATACAGTAGATTAACCTACAACAACAGATGATTAGATTTGTTTCCTGCAATGTTTCTGATGATTTGTAAAGACTTCCAGTCATAGATGGTCAGAATTAAGAGGAAATGTGCTTTTTTGCCTCTTGTATTCTGTGTTCCACACATCTGACTATGCCTCTGAAAATGTTTTATTTATTAATTGTTTGTTTATTAGACACATAGACGCATTTTCATCTTCACGATGTGTGCATCCCCTCAGCTTCTTTCTCAATGTCTGAGATTTGTTACATTACTACCATCAGGGACTGAAAACATTGTGGATGTACTGTAAAAGCCACAAATGTATGTGAAAATGCCTCTTTATTGTTGTGTGAATATGTTTTTTAATGTAGCAAATTCAAGGATCCTCATTTTAAAAGAGTACCTCTTGCTTGCTGTCTGACTGGTCGTATTTTGTATGCAAGGGTGAATGTGGAAAAACATTACATTTTTGAAATAAATATTGGTGAAAGCAGATCTAGATTCAGATGAGGAATCTTTTTACAGTGTTTGAGTGTATAGAAATGCTTTCAAAAGGAACCTCTGATCAAAGTGAAGAGACATAAAACCCTATGACGATGGGGGCAGTGGGGAAGTAATGTAATTGGTCTATGCCTGAACATTGTGTAACACTGTCAACACAGACTACCATGGCAAGGCTATTTCCAACAACTCCTCAGCAAACTCCACAATCCTTCATGATGAAACATCATTCGTCACTTGTGTTATTCTGTTCACCTGTATTAGCCTGCAGTGTCTTCACTTCCCTTCAGTATCGCTGCACTCTGCCTCGTCCCTGCAGCCCCAGGGCTCTGGTCACCATCCGTCTGGCTACAGCACAGTCTGTCCTAGGACGTTCCTTCACTGGCTGGATAAACTCTAGGAAGCAGCACAGAAACAACCATCTGATTCCCATACTACATAACACAGAAGGGCTCCAAGACAGTAACAAAATACAGATGTTATTGCTTAACATATTTCCTACACAACAAGCACGTAGCTACAGGGCTCCAATAAGCTTTGTGAATTGCCTACCTGCCCGTCTCATGGCCTTGCCTATGGCGCTTTTACTCCCTTGAGCCAGTGATCTCGCCTTCAGTGTTGGATGGCAGATGGAAAGGGCATGGAGTGCTGCACATGACATTGCTATATGTTAGTACAATTCTAGTCATCTTTTAACTTCAATCCCAGCACCACATTCACTGTGCAGTGAGGACACATACCTGCCGTCTCACTGGAGAAAACCCCAAGGGCATGTGTGTTGTCCACCCACTCGATCTTTAGTCCACCATCACTGCAACAGACAGGAGAGCACTTTAGGAGTTTGGGAGGTGGATCAATAATTTGAGGTCTTGATTTACTTAGATTGGACATTAGGGATGTTTTAAAGTCTTCAGTTTAAACTTTTTGTTGTGGAGTAAGTGTACAAAATATCTACACGGTTTGAAGATCAAATAAACTCAGAGGATTTGTTACCTAAAACAGAAAAGCTACGGAGACTGACAGATCTGTAGAGAGGTTTAAGATCTAAACTCTGCTCGCACCTGTACTCTGTGAAGGCATCCAGGAGATCGTCTGTTTTGTAAAAAGCCGGGAAGTTGTAGATCTCAATCACGTGGGGAAACTTATCTGGGCTGGTACACACATTCTCATAAATGGAGTAGTCATTGTGGACGTGCTGAATGGAAAAGGTCACCGTCTCTTTAAGATGTTCCTTGATCTGACAGGACAAACACAAAATAACTGGTTACTGTTTATGGTGCTGATGTGGCCTCAACATGAAAGAGCTTCAAGTAATGTGAATATTAATCCAAAAAAACACAAGTAATGGAATATATCTCAATAACACATGATTATATTAGTAACACGTGTATTAGTAAGACATTAAGTACTCACAGAAAACCAAAAGCAGGCTCACCTCCTCAGTTACATCATCTGTGTCTGTGCATGTGTCCTCCTTGTCCTTCTCATCCTCCTCCAGAGCCATGTCAGCCAGAGAGGACACAGTCTGTTCCCAGATGAGTGCTGAACTGTCAGCAACATGGTTGAGGACACCCTCCGCTACACTGGGGAGACATTCCTGTCTGGGTGTGGATGAGGACTTTGTTTTTTCTGTAGTTTCGGTGCATAAACAAGAGTCAGATGAGCTGCTGATGCAGCTACAGCTACTTGAGGCCGGACTGGGCAACTCTTGGTCTCCTGTGGTTCCTTGTGAGTTTTGTAAGCACAGTCTCTCCCGAGCAGCTCGTGGCATGTAAAGGGGTTTGTCCGGCCTCTTAGGTCCTCGGCTTCGCGATGGGATTGAAGATTTAGGCCTGGCATGGCCGTCCATCTCCTCCCTGCTTCTTAGGGGCTCTGCACACAAGCTGCTGTTGCTCTCCCAGTCACCATCTTCCTCGACCTCAGCCCTGCAGAAAACCCCCCCCCACAAATGATTTAACTCGTTCTACAAAAATCTATTCTACTTAAACTGAAAAGCAATTAAACCTAAAAGAGAGACCCGGGATTTAGAAAAACAAGCAGCAACAATAACAAAAACCAAGACCTTTCTTTTTTGTGACATCACTGGCAAAGTGCACAAACTAAGCAATAATGTAAGATGTTTACTGCACGTGTAACAGCTATCATCTTGTCTACATTCACTACCTGAGCTCAGAATAGCAGACCACCACCCTCCGACACCAGCTCTCCCCTACTGAGAAGGTGGTGAGCTCTGGTATGTCCTCTGTGGTGCTGTGGATCAGGTAACGTAGCCTGCTGGGTAGCGGGGGGAACAGGAGCACACTGAACAAGGACACAGAGGGAATCACAACAGAGAAAGACAGTTAAGGTCATATAAGCAACTTCTTTTTTTAAATATATTTTCAACTATAAATTTGGCATTGGAGATTTAATGTCAATGAGAACACATGACCAAATAAAGCTTAAATACAATGAGAGCAGGATTTCTTTTGCAACAGCAGAAGAAATAAGTAGAGTGAGAAGACAAACAACAAATACAGAAAGTCACACACAAATACATGTACACTATAAAAAGACATCTCATTAAAAAGTCCAGAATTAGAGGTTCATATTCATCCAACAGGATGAGACGTTCAGGTTTTAAAGCCTGTTGTAGTTCATTTGATTATATGGTTCAAAGTACACTTGGGCAGGATCTATTTTCCTTCCTTCCTGACATTTCACCAGGTTATACGATATATGATGGTATTGTAGCATGTATGTCACTGTCTCGCCTACTATGCTGTGTTTTTAATGTGCAATTAACCTACTGATGGCCCATAGAATAATGGATACATAGGAAACAGGCACCCTTCTTTCAGGAGGACCTAATGACACTTGTTGCTGCTGCAAATACTAACACGAGTGAGTTGAACGGGGAGGTTGTGTTGAACAAAATCATATGTGGCAATACTCCCAAACGGGGGCAGAGGCATTTCTCCTTTTTTCAATAGTCTCATAATGTTATCCCCACCACTACCACTCACCATCTTTCTCAGCTCAGCTACCTGTCCCACTGGTAGAGACTGACCTCTGGTGGCTCATTTATGCACTACATCTCCCTAATACAGCATCTCTGTATCAGTTTCATAGCAACAGCTGTATTTTTGACAGTATTAAAAATCACACTTAAGGGATTTCTGTAACACCCCAGTACTCCATAATACCTTGATACTGCCCATGTCTGGTTCAAAGCACTGAAAGGCAGTCTTTAAGTTTAGTATTTGCTTGTGGGGTATCAACAGTTGGAAAGTCCTAGAATCTGGACCTACTTTTTCATAGACTACATAGTGATGACTTTAGTTGTTCTTTTATCTCAGACATGTTAGGATGTTACATACCTTGACATGTTTCGGTGGAAACTTCCGCCTTCCTCAGAAGTGTCACTTGGTGGTGGGTGTGACGCCGAAACATGTCAAGGTATGTAACATCCTAACATGTCTGAGATAAAAGAACAACTAAAGTCATTATCAGAAACTAAAGACATAATGAACAGCATTGAACAACATAGTGATGAGTACTGAATACAACATCTATCTTCCTATAGAATCACAGAGGCACACTGTGCTTTAATCCAATACAAGTAAATATTTTTTATCTTCAGTCTTTGTGCCAGCTGTTTCACACAAGGTTCAAAAGTAAGATTGCACATCTTTAGAAAGAAGGCAGGGAGACGTAGAAAGAAATTATAGGTTCTTAGGAATAAAAACACATTTTGTGTGACCAGTAAATCCCTGTAACTGAGTTTAAACGGACACCTGACTGATGCTATAGCACAGTGTTCATCTGGCTACTGTGGTTATGTGTTCTCTTAATTTACCTCTTGCGGTTGCTCTTCTCTTGGTATGTTTCCAGCTCTTCCTTGACATAATGGAGGAATTGATTTTCTTGTTTTGGGAGATAGATGCCATCGACACAGGGAAACGCCAGGGTGGACAGAGAAGGACGGGTCCTGGGGACAGTGTGGGGAAGTTAACTTACAGTCAGTTAACGTTAGCAACGGTCAACGGACAGCAACGGTAACGTTACAAATCAATCACTGGCCAAATTTCACTGTGGCCAGTAGCGTTAGCTAGCAACCTTGGTTAGCCAAAGTAACAATATCTACATTAATGTGTGTTATTTGTGCGTAAATCTAGCCTGTTGCTGTGGGTTTATGTCCTAATCCACAACTTAACAACTCAAAATAAGGCTAACTGACTTTGTTTAACGTTTACGCACCTGACGTACGTTAACCGTCATGCTACCTGGGGTTAGCTAAAGCTTGTAGATATTCAGGCGGGCTTACCGTAACGATTTAAGAGTTTTCTGACCTGGACTTGTTTTAGTTAGGTGCTGTGGCACAGGTGACAACAGTTGAAGTCCCAGCCAGCGGTAGTTCAGTAGTTAGCTTCCATTATTTAGCTTCCGGAAGCAGATGTTTTCTTCTTCGTCTTCTTCTTCTTCTTCTTCTTCTTCTTTTTCTTTTTCTAGTTTTATGGCGGTTGGCAAACAACGCATGGAAGCATTACCGCCACCTACCGAAATGGAGTGTGGGTCTGGATAAATTAATATTCACGAGAAAAAAAAAATCTAAATTCTTCTGATCAGACCAGTTCTACTCAAGTAATAAAACAAAAACCTGAAGCAAACCTCGCCTGAATTTTTCTGGAGGATAGTCTTTATGTTTAAAGGCACACTTTCTGACTCCAGCTCCTGAATCAGTTGCTGTCTCTCCTGGTCAGATTTGGAGCAGTATTCAATAACATGCTCTACAGTACTCAGCAGTACTGTAATAAGTAATAAGTAAAGTACTGCCTAAACCAGTATGCCCAAATCTCATCCTAGAGATAATGTCTTCCTCTTGAGTTGATCTAGTTGTTTGTCTTGCCAGATGTTTTCTTCTTTTGGCGTCCCTTCTAAAAGCAGCAACATATCCGGTTTGGTTTCTTCAAAATAAAAGCATTGTTCTTAGAAATGTCAATCTTTTTTAAATGTTGTTAGTAAAGTTTCTAAAATGGCACTAGTACTACCTGTACCACTAGTAGTACAAGTTGAGGTTCTTATAAGAATGCGACTAGTACCACTTGTGGCAATTATGAAACCTTTACTAGTAGTACTAGTAGTACTAATAGACAACAAAATATGGAGGCGGATATGGGGACATACAAGGAGCCTATTTCAAAATAATTACTCTTCTTCGCCGCTGAGATGTGTTTCTTGTGGCTGTCAGCATGTTATCTTCATCCCTCTGTGATGCCAGTTCCCGTCTTGCTACATCAAGCGCATTCCAAACGCAATCAATAACATTATTAAGGGAGAAATCTGAGTGACGACAATGTAGCTGTAGGAGTCCCAGACTGAGCAATTACTGTATTTCTCCTGCGCAGATTTAGTACAATGAAATGCTCTTTAATGCTTTTGTCAAATTTGATCACAAGTTTAACAAATTTGTTTGTTCAAAATCCAAATAAATATTAACATGGAAATTATTAAGCACCGTGTTGACTTTGCTTTGCACATGTGGGTCAGGCAGCACGTGCCAGTCAAACTGCACCAGTGGCGGCTCCTGGCCACACATCAGCTGGAAGAGGCTGGGATCCAAGGCTTTGATACATGGACCTCCATGTGCAATCGACCAAGTGATAAGGTTGAAATATTTACGCTGGTCTAATGCTGCTTGGTCATAACTAAGGAAGACCTGGCCAGCCTTTCCCTCGAAAATGCCAAGAGAGGTCTGTACCTCTATCATCAAGAGTCTAGAATAAACAGAAAAGAGAAATACAACAGTTTGTATTACAGTTCACCTGAAAACATGAACGTATTTGTTATAAAACATTTAATAAATTACTTGAGGTATTCAGACCTGAAAAACTCTCGCTGTGGTCCCCCCCATATCATCTGCTTCTTCTCCTACAAACTCAATAAGTGGTGAATGGGTCCAACAGAACGTGGCCCTGGAGATTGCTTTAATGGCGCTCTCCAGAAGCTTTTTCCTCCTGATACAAATGGTGGATACCAGGCCCTCAGAAAGGCGATGCTCTTGAAAAGTGCTCAAAATGATGGCAAGATCCTTTTCTTCCTAAAATATGTAAAACATATGACGTATATCAGAAATGACTAGCAAAAAGGGTTGGCCACTCTGCGGACAGGTGATCTTGTAAATTTGTTTAAAAAGTGGCAATATGCAATTCTTTTAATTTTGAGTATGTGAAATGCATAGTCATTAACAAGTCTTGAACAAAATGTTCTCCCAGTTTTCTGTAGTGAAAAAAAAAATAAAATAAAATAAAACCTACCGATGGAGGACTGTCAATTTCAAAAGTAACTGCGATAATGTCGTCCTCGTCCCCATCCTCATCCTCAGAATCATCAATGACAAAGTCACTGACAGGACTCCTAAAAAAAAATCAGATTTCCTTCTTTTTAACTGCCAGTTTTACGTACTCGGGCCTTTCAAAAACTAATTTCAAACTCTTTTTAAACCACTGGTGTATTCTGATATTATTCTCTCTAAAATCTGTTTAATAGATGAGTATTGAGAGTGTTATTGAGACAGTATAAAATGCAGTGTCATATGTTTCCTGTTTTTGAACATTTAAAATACCTGTTTAATGGTTCCACACGTGATGTTCTGTACAAGACCTTGAAAGTACAAATGTTGCATGAAATGATAATGTCTCAATACATTGTACGTCAAAACATACTTAATACTACTATCGTCATGTAAAGTTTTACCTCTGGGTTCCCAGCATTCAGCCACTCTGCAGGATCCAAACTTGCCTCCTGTTGATTAACAAGACTTACCATTAACATCCAACTACTCTTTTACTGAGGTTAGCTTTGAAAATGGAAAGGATAACTTTTTGACTACGATTATTAAACATTAATATTTCTATTTACTTCAGTCTGAATTATCAAAAGTACATACAGAATGTATTATTGTTTTTCATAACTTACGAGTGATGGGTTAAAGTCTGTCCTTGGTGAGCCTCCGTCAGTGTCCATAGTTGAAGAGAGGGACATGGCGTTAACGGGAGGGGACTGGTAACTGGTGTGATGGCAGTGGGTGGGTGAGACTGCAGGTTTGAAGTCAGCAGGTGAAGCTGCAAGTATGACAGCAGTGTGTGAGGCTGCGGGTGTGACGGCAGTGTGCGAGGCTGCAGGTGTGATGACACTGTGCGAGGCTGCAGGTGTGACGGCAGTGTGTGAGGCTGATGGAAAGGCAGTTAGAGACTGTAAAACTGTCTCAGGTCCAGCTGGTGGAGATTTTCTGGTAAGGTATGAGTCCTTTCAGGCCCTGAGGTCTTGATGGACAAAACAAAGTGCCTGATTAGTAATTGATATCAATGTACGCATATTCAAAAGGAGTGTTGGCCCAAAACAACAACAAAAACTCACCTCTAATGGCAGTGTAATATCAGTCTGGGGAATAATATAAATCCTGCTTCTGCCAGCAGCTGTCTTCAGCTCCTTCAGTGTATTTGCCTGAATTTTAGTCAGAACCTTGGGCCTATCAGCTCTTGCAAGATGAAATCCAATTACATTTAGCCTAATCGTGGGAAAGCTTTGGCAGATGTAATTATTAAACTCTGGCAGAGTCCAAGAAAGTGCTACGTAACTTCTGTGTGAGACTGCTCTTGGCAAATCATGACTTGGGATCCCTGGAAAATGATTAAAGAAAAAACTGTCAATATACTGACTCAATAATTTATTGTGTTTTGCTTGCCATTGACTTAGATTCAAAGCCTTATTGTGTCTTTATAGGCTGTGAACAACATACTTTGCTGTATTTGTTATGTTTGGAGCACAATTTCAATTCAATTTATTTATGTAGTGCCAAATCGTAACAGAAGTTATCTCAGGGCACTTTTCACATAGAGTAGGTCTAGACCGAACTCTTGAATCTACGGAGACCCAACATTCCTCCATGAGCAGCACTTGGTGACAGCAGCAAGGAAAAACTCCCTTTTAACGGGAAGAAACCTCAAGCAGAACCGGACTCTAAATGGACGCCATCTGTCAATATCTGAGCTATACGCACTCAGGCTACATCGTGATAAACATTGGTTTGTGGATGTTTAGGGTGAGGCTTGACAAAATGAATCAGGGCAAGTCCTGCTCAGTACATGTGTACGATAAATGGGATTAGATAAAATCATGTGACTTTGCAGTAGGACTGCAACGATTAGTCGACTAACTGGTGACTAATCGACTATTTTAGTAGCGGACTAATCAGTTTGTGAACTAAAACCCTTTGGCTTGAGTATGAAACAAGACATTAGATGACATAATTTTGGGGTTTGGGAGAGACAGACCGACATGTTTCAACATTTTAACACATTTTTCGATAAAATGATTAGTCGACTAATGGAAGAAATAATAGACAGATTAGTCGACAATGAAAATAATCGCTAGTTGCAGCCGTACTTTGCAGTATTTGTGGTCCAAGGGATTATCCTGCCTTATTATGAATTTGACACACCAAATAAATGGCATTTAAAGATGACAGACTGCAATTAATAATATTTAATATGTATGGGCTGATGTTAAATGAAGCCAAAACTAAATGATGATATGAATTTTGATGCAGGTAAGTCTTGCTGCCAAAAGTGGAGTGCATTGGTTGTCTTTTGTTTACCACATTGCACACTGGCCACACAGCTATAGTATAACTAGTATAACCAGAGGGTGACAGCAAACATCTTGACATAACGTTAATGGCCGCCGGCACTTCTGGTGACATGAGCTATACTTCACATGAAGCTGCCACAGGAAGTGGCTTTAATAATGTTATTGATTGCGTTTGGAATGCGCTTGATGTAGCAAGACGGGAACTGGCATCACAGAGGGATGAAGATAACACGCTGACAGCCCCAAGAAACACATTTCAGCGGTGAAGAAGAGCAATTATTTTGAAATAGGCTCCTTGTATGCCCCCATATCTGCCTCCTTATTAACATTTTGTTGACTACTAGTAGTACTAGTACTATTAGTAAAGGTTTTCAAAATTGCCACTAGTAGTACTCGTAGCACTAGTAGTACTAGTTGCATTTTTATTTAAAACTTCACTAGTCATCTAGTGAATCCATATATTGTCTAAAATACAAGCTTAACCAAGCAAAAAACACAATTAGAATCTATGTGGTAATACTTATTCAAATCAAATACCAGTTTTAGAACTAAAGTCAAACACCAACAGCTATACATATTTCAGGAAAATGACATTTATTGAGATAAAACAGAACAATATTTGTAAGAAAAGTACAACAGTTGTATCAAACACCAACAATAGCAATCATCTGTGGAGTTGAGGGTGTTTAAGGTTTCTGTGGTGTTTGGTGATGCTGAAAAAGGAGCTAACATTCACACAATCACATTGTTGTTGTGTGGATCTTATGAGAAACATGTGATGGAGCATGATTAGGAAAGAGACAGAGATGGACATTTCTCAAAATCTACTGGGTCAGGCTGTTACTTTGTGATGGATTAATTAACAGTAAACATGCTCCATCTTCAGTCACAGAAAAAAATACAGTGCAGAACTTCCAATGTGCATGTTTCACATGAAATGAACCCCTCCACAAAAAGTCAGAGTCATGCACAGATAAGAAAACAATTGCCTCAACAAAGGCTATAACCACCATGTCAATACTCTGGAGCACTGCCCATACCAGATTACTGTTTACAGACTGTGCCAATAACTTCATCCCTACCTATTTCCTATAATAGTTCTCAGTGATTAGACATTTTTGACTTTATATCATTTGCAAAAACACACAAGTCAAATCACTTATTTTTACCATGATCAAAAAGTTGCATATAACACAATGGCACTCTTCATAAAGACTGGTCTGGATCAACTAGGATGTGATTTGTACATCATCGTATGTATAAAAAAAACCATGAAAACACGTTTACAAACATACAGACATAGGCAGACAGTAGAATACTTATAAATAACAGAGAAACCGATCAGATCAAAATTATATACATCCATTCAGGTGTAGCAAACCTGTTTATATGTGCTGCCAGACAGATGGAGAGTATCTGGTCAGAGCCATCGGCCTTTACGAAGAGGCAGAAAGAAAAAAGAATATTCTGTTAGGGATTAAGAATAGCTAAATGGTATAGAAAAGGGAGATTTCAAGGTTTGGGTTTATTTCATGTTTTGGTTAGATGGTAGTAAATGTCCAGCTAATTGATCACTTGTTATAAAATAATGAAATTAAAAGTGGTCAGTTCAGTTTGACTGCAACTAAAAAAACAAGCCCTATAAGCTGATGTTTTGGGAAAACCCTTAAGTTATCTTAAGTTAAAGGCAAAAACGTCAAATTGGGGATCCTAATTTTCTTTCCAGTGGACATGACTCTTTGTTTCAATGACATCAGAAGGACTTCATACCCCAAGGTTCTTTATCTTCCAGATCCAATACTTCTGTCTTCAAAGATGGTAATTTCAACCTAGAAGACAAGTTAGGGAAAATACACAATGCTACATGCACATCGTTTCATATAAATAACAATAAGTGTTCTTTCCTTAGCATAAACAACCATCTATGTTTAATGTACTAACTTCTAGAGCAAAGGATCGTATTTTTAAGCCTGAGAAGCACTAGTTGGTTTAGAAAAGGTGTGTAAAATTAGGTGCACATCAAAGAATAACCTGGCCAGGTGTAGATGGAAATATTTATAGATGAGACAGGCAACATCGCCAAAACCTACCAGTAAGTCTAATGTTAATCAGTATAACTTCAGTAGTTTTCTACCCAGCTGTTCAGGTGAAGGATACAACTCTGAGGCCTCTCTCTATGGGGTCAGTCAACAGCAACCCCCTGGGAGCATATATCTTCTCATTCTGGTCCTTAATGTACCTCGCAATCTTCTTTAACACCTAAACACAGAGAAACAGCAGCGCACAGATTTAAGATATACATCAACATCTAAACCTGTCAAACCCACCAGAGACGAAAATATTACCTTTTCATAGTGCGTCTCCATACAGAGGAATATTGTATAGGCAGTTAGACACGCCAGGCAGCCCTCCAAATAAGACTTCCCTCCTAGTTTCTCTGCCTCTGCATACAGGTTGTTCAGAGTCTGGATGGTTTCCTCAAACTGCTGCTTATCAAGCTGAAACCACACAAGCAGTTTAGATATTATACACAATCTATTAACATTCATTCAACACATATTCATACATGTAAATCCTGGACATACCCTTGACTCAAGTTCAGGGGGGAACTTGGTCTGAAACTTGGAGATGGTTCCTGAGCTGTAGTCTCTCTGGACAAACACCTTGGAGGAGACAGCTGGCTGCTGGAGGTCCTGTAAGCTGTGGGTCTGGACAGAGAATCAAAATGTATGTCGTTCGTGAAGAATAGGTATCTGAAGGGTTGGAACAATAGCACCTACTCTGAAGCTAGCTACTCTGAAAACTCTGAGAAAAAACAAGACTCTCATACTAATATCTGGCCGAGACTTCGCTACACAGGCTAACATTATTATCAAGCTAACAGCTACATAACAGCTAATGTCTGTGTTTATATCACTAAACCGGTGACAATACTAACATTACCTGTGTGATGCTGGAAATTATGAAACAATACTACGATGTGTAACTTAATAGAATAAGATATTAAATCTACGAATCGCTTATGTTATGGGGGTAACGTTAGCTAGCTAATATCACGTTAGCTTACGTTTGCTGACCCATCAACGCCGCTGGGAAGTATGGCAATTTTAGCCTTTATCATTATCCAAATCAATAAATCATCCTTAACTTGTTAAACAACTACGTAATAAATTACATGTCAGTCTTTAATATGAATAACCCCCCCAAATCTTACCTCAGCCATGGTGGACGACTCCCCGGAGGCTGCGGCGCATCCGATCTTAGCTAATTGCACAAGCCCAGTACGACTTCCGGTCCATTATTTTCAGAATAAAATTGGCTTTTGCACAAAGGCAGCGATGGTTTAAGTGTAATAATACATTATGTTTCTATTAAATATGTTTCTTTGTCTTTACAACAGGTGCCCTCACTTGAATAGTTTGAAACTACACGTGGTTTAAGGATACCATGTAATTCTACCTAAACATTTTGATGAGCCACCAACATTTAAAGCCATTTAGTAAACTCAGTGACAAATAATGGCAGTCGCTCAGCCCGGCCACAGATAAGTTTCTTATTGACTATGTAACTAAACAGGGTAGTATAAATGACAGCTCAATGCCAGTCAAAATTAGTATTCCTTAATCTTTAAACCAAAACGACCTGTCTCACTTATTCACTTTTGGTGGACTGCTGACAGTACTTCCCTTTATTTTCTAGTTCTGTATTTGGCTTTGCTCAGTTGCTGTAGAAAAATGCCTCCACTTTGTAGTTAAGTCATACCTTTAGATTCACTTTTATTTTGAAGTATGACACGCCCAAACGGAAGTCTCGGGCTTCGTCACACATTTTCCCATTAAGACAATGTTTACGCAATACCCAACACTACTTCCCATGGTGGACTGTATCAAAAAGTGAAGATTCTCTTAACTTTGGATCCCGTTTAGAGCATCCTTACATATTTAACCCTCTACAAATCAGAACTACTTCACTCCTTTATAGTCTCCATCCAATGTGCATCAGTTATGACCATAAAGGAGGTATAGCACACAATGGTAGTTTAACCATACAGCCTTCCAATTCATGGGGAAAAAAAAAAAAAAAAAAAAGATAAGGCAGGTGGAGATGAGGAACTTTATTGAATCATGGTTTTATTCAACTGTTAGTTTATTGGTCGTTTAGTCGCCATCGAACAGACCGAAGCCAATATCGTCATCCGATTCCTCAGACTCCTCCTTAACCTCCTCCTTAGCAGCTGGCGCAGCAGCAGTCTCAGCAGCAGCTACAGGTGCTGCGGCAGCAGCAAAAGCAGATGGATCAGCCAGGAATTCCTTGACCTGCAAGACAAAAGTACAAAGTTAGTATTCCATTTATACCTAGTCGTTTCCTTGTCATGCAAACAGATTAAATGATTAAACACTTAGGCCTGTCCTGCATGTAAACTAATGTGACAAGTACTGATTTAATGTGCATACCTTGTCTGCCAGGGGGAAGGAGTAGTCAGTCTCCACAGCTACAGCCAGGACTCTCTTGTAGCCATTGATGATGGAGTGGGGGACAGAGGCCAATGTGGGGTAGCCAATCTCCAGACACACGCTAGCGATGTTCCTCACACCCTAAATAAATCACAAGTTTTATATAGTGATCAAATTGCGTGTATGGATATTTCAAACAAACATGACTCCCAGTGATCTCAATTTAGTTGTAAGGACTGCCTTCTTCACACAAACAGCATCTCACCTCCAGGAATCTGGCTTGCAGAGCAGCCTCTGTGATGTCGAGCACCTCAGGACTGTAAACACTGCCATTATCATACACTTGCTGGATGATGAGTCCGTAGGAGAAGGGTGAGATGTTCAGCATGTTAAGCAGTGTGGCCTCGCTGGCACCAACCTTATCGCCAGTTTTGATCAGACCGACGTCACTCTGGGGACAGAAATGCTAGTTAGTTACTTGTGCAAACAATTTGATGTACATTGGTTTCATAGCTATCCAGCATGGGGCACCCCAAACTGATTGTCAATTAGACAGTGAAACCCCACACCCCAGTATAACAGTTTTCAAACTCACCAAGATTTCAATGGTTCCCCTAGAGATCTTGGTGGTGATACCCAGAGCCTGGAAGAAAGAGGTCTTCTCAGGACCCAGACCAGTGTTCTGGGCTGGCACAGTCACATCGCAAGGGGCAATGGCTCCAGCACGGGCAGCTGCAGGCACCTGGGTTATTAGAGAGTGTGTTAGTTTAGTATAATACTTTGCAAGAGCTCCATTTGAGTCTAGAGGGCAGGTTTAAACAGTTAAGGAGAGTTTTGATTCAGTTTTTGAATCAATGTCTGAAACCTTACGTGCCTGGCAGCCAAGGGATGCTGACTGACAGGTATAGCGAGGAAACAGGATGCTGTTTGCAGGGGGAACGACAAAGCAGCACTGCACAAGCTGCACTGTAACTTATCCTGCATCTCAACAGGGTCTATGAATACTGGTTACATGTACAAAACTAAATTCCTCCTATAGTGTTCCTGACTACAGCTGCACTTGACTTTACCTTCAAGAGTCATTTGCTAGCACTGATGTTTGAGTAAAATGTTTAAGGTTTTACTCATACCTTGTTGGCCAGCAACATGTCCCTGACCTCAGCCAGATCCTCCTTGGTGAAGACAAAGCCCACATTTCCTTTAATGTGAGGCAGGAGCCTATCAAATCACAAAACCACCTGTCAGATATGTCAGCAGGTGGTCATTTCTACAAAGAGGAAAAGTTGTAAAGTGTCTGAAACCTTGCGTCCCTGGTTGTCGGGGGAAGTAGACAGACAGGGATAGCTGGAAACAGGTTATTGTTTGCAGGGGGAACGACAAAGCAGTACCACACAAGCTGCATTGTAACTTATCCTGCTACATGACAACTGAAGACAGCAAACGTAGAGGCCACATTAAACTCACTTCTCCAGGGCAGGATTGTTCTCCAGGTGGCCACGAATGGCTTTGCGCATCATGGTGTTTTTACCCATCAGCACCACAGCCTTGCCACGCAGAGACAGACGGATGGTCTGCATCTGCTTGGAGCCCACATTGTCTGCACCCACGATGAAGCATTTTGGAAAGTCATCCAGGAGTTGCTATAAATAGAATAAATATGAATTATAAACACTTAAATGTTTACAGCTATGAAACGTATATAAACAGATTAGATAGTCTGCTAATATAAACTTACGTAAGCCAAGTCCTACTTACGATGATTTTCATAAAATAGTTGGACTTCCACGTGGCCCTGTCTTCCCTGGGCATCTTTGCAGTGCTTCCAAGGACCGCTTAACAGCTGGTTTAAAGACAAGGTAGTACCTGCACCAAAAGAATTAAAACATTAATGGATGTACTTAAAAAAAACAAACACACAAACCATAGTCTGCGTAGTATCCTTTCACATGTGGTCGACAGCTAACGTAACGTTAGCCCGCTATTAGCAAGCTAACAGGCCGCGCTAGCTTACGTCTAGCCGCCGCAATATAACAGACAGGACACAAAACATATCAAGGTGCTTTAAGTGTTTGTTTCGTAAATCCCAAAACTCAGATTGGTATAATTTGACGAAATATTCCCTTTTTGAATGGTATTCAGAGAGGGCAAGAGAAAATCCTTACCGTTCACGATAGGGTCGCGTGAAAGGAAGAGGAAGAGGAAGGGCGCGTGAAGGATATATATGCCGAGCAAGTGACCAATCACTAGAGAGTTTGGGCGGCAGCTACACAGCTATTGGATGGCTGCTTGTCAATCATTTCTGTTGCCAAGCTCTCGCTGTAAGGAAGTCCAACACTACAACCAACAGTAACAGTTCACTGAGGAAATCCGGTAACAACTTGTAACAACAAGTGTGGTCTAAATAATAACGTTTCTGCCTTTCAGTCATGGCTAATGTTTACGGCAGCTCGTACTGATATAGCCTGTTAGCCAGCTAGCTAACACAGCAGAGCAAAACGATGGCAGAGCCGGCTCTACAGCTTCCGTCAGAGGTCTGGAACCACGTTTTCGGGTATCTGTCAGTTGCAGACAAGTTTAGCATCCGGGCATCCTGCAAGTACTTCAAAAAACTTGTCGACCACGGATCTCTTTGGAAAGACTGGTCAGTAGTCCTGTGTTTCCCCAAAGGCTCTTACAACAGCCAGTTCTGGGCCACTCTTCGCCGCAGGAAAGTCAGCAGTGTGGTGGTGAGGAGCACCAGCGCCAAAGACTGGAAACAGCTTGCTCTGTCCCTTCCTGCTCTCAGCACAGTAGTGATGGACCAAAGCTCCCAAGCGAGCCTCGACTGCTTGAAGGACTTCCCAAATCTGAAGCGTCTGGCTATTAGAAACAGTCCCACTTCTCTTTTGCTGGATGCTTCCACAGTGAACCAACCCCAGCAGCTGACTCACCTCAGCATGTGTGATGTTAGGTTTCCCACCACAGCAATGGACAGCTTCATCGCTGTCATCTCCCAATTTAAAAACCTTACATCTCTGGTCTGTCATGGGATAAGAATCTCTGAAGAAACAATTTGGATGGTTCACTCCATACTCACCTGCCTGCCTAAGCTGAAGCATCTCTCATTGTCCATGTTGCAGAGAATGTGCGCCTGTCACAGACTTTACCGACCTAACCGATGTCCCAAGTTAGGAGGAGTTGCTGCTGCTGCTGCAGTCTTGTCCAGTTTGGAACTGATCGACTGCATGGAACGTTCATTACCGGGAGATGCAATGAGGCTGATGCCTGATCTGAAGAGTCTTGCTGTTTTTTACAGATATTCACGCGAAGGACTGTCACCATCTTATGACCCTCACCTGAAAACATGGCTGAGTGACCTCCCTCAACTGTCAACCCTGGCCATCTTTAAGGGCCCGTCTGTTGGGAGTTATGTCACCGCCATTCCAGCCACAGTGACCAGTCTCACACTGTGTGTTGCAGGACTGTCCTCAGAGGACATGGCAGCCGTAGCAGTGCAGGTACCAGATCTCCTGCACCTTCACATAGACCCCTGGCCATCACATTTGGGAGCTCACACAGCTCAAATCCCACAACTTTTTCCAAAGCTCAGAAGTCTCAAACTTCGCCATGAACATGTACCAGAGAGCGATTTCTTACACCTTCACCAGCTGCGGGACCTGGAATACTTGGAGATTCTGGACAGACGACCACACCTGTCTGAGCTCACTGGCAAGCTCCAGGCTCTCACACAGCACAGACTTCAGGTCACAACCTCTCCTCGCAGGATTGATGTGATGTCTTGTGCTTGTCACATGAATTGAATTGCTGTGTTTTCGCAGGCCAGTTGCATTGTTGTCATATTGCTGTTTGACCAGTGA